GGACCAGCACCCCAGTACTCTGACTCTGTATTTAACTTTATTAACATTTTGTCAGTTCTTGATAATGTAAAGTTTCTTCTTTGCAACAGGTTCGAAAACTTGACACTAAACCTTTAACAATTTGTGGAACTAACCAAAAATCATCCGCCCAAGCTTGTCAAAGTACAGTGTTGGAGCTAGTGGCTCTTCTGAAGAACACGTGCCAGTAGAGCTTGTTTCTTTTGATGTGGGCACACCAAGTAAGTCTCTCGTAGGAAACGGATCTTTTCCTCCAATGGCAGTCTCGTCGGAGTATTTGCATCCCACTCGGAACTCCAACATTCCAGGAAATTGTTCTCCAGTTTCAACATTTTCTAGTAACCAAAATATTGCATCCACGCCTAAATCGAGTTTAGCAGCATTACTGGCTACTTTCTCAAAAACACCAAAAACTCATAGAGAGTTTGTGGCGAGAGAAAATAATTACAACAAAGAAACAGTAAACACTTCCTCATCTGAGGCCTTTTCAGCAGATGGTGATTTAATAGCAGTTAAAAAGATTCTTGCAATCGTTGACGAAACGGTTTCTAAGCAGCCACGAAGTTCAGATTCGAGGAATGGTCAGAGCAGACTTCTATCAGAACTTTTGAGTGGACCATCTTCCGTTAGTCCTCTGAACATTCCTTTGATATCTGGTAACAAGACAGAACCGAATCCAGATGACCGAAGAATTTATCCTCTCAATGAAGAACGGTTTGTACATACAATGAATTTCGATCGTCACATCCAATCTCTCAAAATGGCAACTGATGAAAAACTGTTGGAAAATACTTCATTAAAGAATTCAAATTTCGAATATGTTAATAACTTAGATAGCCCTATTATACAATACCCCAGTACCACAAACCAGAACAAAGACACAAGTTATTCATACCTTGAAATATCTCTTCGAAATGAGGGTGAAAACCCCAAAGGTTCCTACTTAAAAGATGTAAGGAATACTATCGTTCACAATACGCCAAGTGGAAATAGGTTACAATTACTAGAAGCTTTTCGTGACAGAAATCCAAGTCCAACAAAGTATGAAGTAACGAAGATGGCAAGAGAAATTGGTTGTTCCTCGCGGATGGTGCAAATGTGGTTTCAAGTAAGTAAGAATGAAAACTTTCCCCCAGATACTATAGTCCAATCACCAAACAAGACCTATGCAAAAACAGGATCACCTATATCCCACGAGGTCCAACCACATTATGGGGGTCACGTTTTAAACATCCCACGCTACGAACCCCCATCTCTGCTCAAGTTTCCTACCTGGTCAAGTTTTCATTCAGAATATGAAGGTGAACTTGTTTCTGATCGAGCTATAGCGCCCTCTGCTCACTGCCAAGACCGTAAAGTTTCACCAATTTTTTCACAAGATGGCGCTGAGGAATACAAGATGCTCAATAATAAACTGGTTTTCTCGGACAATGATTTACCCCTTGACTTATCGTTGAAAAAGGAACAGAAAAATTATTTTTATGAAAATAATGAAACGCCGTATAAAGTACCAACTTATGAAGTCATGAATCTCAGTCAAAAATCCAGTCGAGGAACAGCGACATCCAAGGAGAGCACTGGACAATGTCCTTCACTTGAAGGTCCTTTTGGAAAGGCACCAGTCTTCAAACGCAGCTGTGAAAACCAAGATCCTGTCTTCAGAGTACTGACCAAAGATAGGTCAACTGGCTCCGTGGTATACAACGATGCTGTAATCTCTGATCACTATTGTTCTTTGCCAGGAGGATCACTTTTGATAGATCATTCTAATTCCACAAGTCCTCAACAGGATTCTCCAATAACGTCTGTGATTATGGATTCGAGAAGTTTAAGTCCTGCCAGTGGTTCTTCGTTAGAATCAGAAAGTGAAGGTCCACAGTCCTCTCCTGCACAGAGCAGCCAGAAAGGAGGATACAGTCCAGCGTCCTCTCCTGCACAGAGCAGCCAGAAAGGAGGATACAGTCCAATGTCCTCTCCTGCACAGAGCAGCCAGAAAGGAGGATACAGTCCAGAGACATTCGACCAGAAAAACTGTTCTTCTAACAGCAATGACAGCTGGAAAATGGCCAAATCAAAAAAGTTCAGGAAAAAGGTACGGCTACTTTTACTTAAGTACTGTTTGTTTGTTATTGTTTGTTATGAATTTCGCGCAAAGCTACACGAGGGCTATCTGCGTTAGCCGTCCCTAATTTAG